CCCGGGTCTCTCGGGACCACAGGCCGACACTCTAACCGCTGAGCCAAACCGGCCAGGGCTGGGATCATTTTTTAAAAATGAGCAAATAAATGTTACTTTGAAGGGGAAAAAAAAACCCATGACTCTATTCATGGGTAATTACGGTGAGTTGGCTCCCAGGCTGTTCTCGTGGGTCATGCTTCATGCGGCCTCCTGACTTTTGTCCCCCACAGTGACCGGTTAGCACTGCTCCAGGTCCGAGCCATCCTCCAGCAGCTGGGCCTGAACAGCACCTGCGACGACAGTATCCTCGTCAAGACCGTGTGCGGGGTGGTGTCCAAGAGGGCCGCACAGATGTGCGGTGCGGGCATGGCTGCTGTGGTGGATAAGATTCGAGAAAACAGAGGGCTGGACCATCTCAACGTGACCGTGGGCGTGGATGGAACACTGTACAAGCTTCACCCACAGTGAGTGGGGCTTCCCGTTGGGTAGGGCAGAGCTTCCTGGGCCGGGGAGTTCCTCTGATGGTGACGGGACATCGGGACGTAATTCCCACAGGACAATTCCTCACCCTGATCACAGGCCCCCCGAGGCTGTGCACTCAGGACCGGGGCTGATCTGGGATGAGGTGATGAGCCGCGCTGAAGTGTAACTGAGAGAGGCAGAGAAGTGGCTTTACCTGGCCGGCTCAACCAGTGTCGTGACATGTCCCTCTCGCTGCTCCTGGGCCCCGTTAGGTCGGGCAGAGTACAGGTGGGGGCAGGAAAGGAGATGGAGATGCTGTGGGCTTACCCATCAGCCGGGCTAGCTGCAGCCTGGCCGGGAGGCTGTTTGGTAAGGGGAGAGGGAGTGAAGGAAAGGGGCAGGGGGCTCCTTGTCTTGTTCATCTGCTTGTCAGAGACGCGGAAGGCAGGAGCAGTTTTCGCTCTGGGCTTCTAGCAAGGAGTGGGTGGGGAGCTACTTCTGTTGGTTAAGTGTTGGACAGGTCGTGTGGCCCCATCTGCTCTGTGATCATTGCATGTCCCAAAGGCTCTTATAGAGTGACTGTATTATTTACTGTCTAAACTCTGGGTTACTTTTGCCAGTGAAGAGAGTGCTATTAATAATTAATTTTACCCGGCTGGTGTGACTCACTTGTTGAGCATCAACCCACGCACCAAGAGGTCGCCGGTTCAATTCCCAATCAGGGCACATGCCCAGGTTGTGGGCCATATCCCCAGTGAGGGGCATGCAGGAGGCAGCCAATCGATGTTCTCTCATCAATGTTTCTATCTCTCTCCCCCTTCCTCTCTTCCTAAATTCAATAAAGAAAAATAAAAAAATAATTAATTTCACTGGGACCATCCCAGGTAAACCAGGCAATAATGTCACCCTAGTTAAAAGCAACATTACCCAACTCAACATTACCTGCTTACCTCATGGCCATGGGTGGGGGTGGACCCATCCGTCTCACTCCAACCCCACTTTCATCCCTCCACCTTAGTAGCTCGCCTCTTCCTCCCCTGAGGTGGCACCCAGGTGTGGTTTAGGGTAGGCTTTGGAGCCGGACACACTGGGATTTAATCCTGGCGCCGTCATTTGGAAGCTGTGTTCAGCTGCTAAGTTTGAGTCTCGTCTTCCTCATGGGACAATAGCCACTGGCAGGACTGGAAATGATGTCTGTGAAGTGTGGTAGGTGTTCAACAAAGGGCAGCTCATGTGACCTCTCTGTGTCCTGAGCATCCTCAGCCTGGTCCCGTCTCATTTCCAGCACAAAATGCAGAACCTCGAGTCACCTCTCAGAGATGATCCTTCACTGGGGGACCACCTGCTGGGCTGTAGCCAGTGCCGGGCTGGGGTCTCAGGGCTGCAGCTGTGGGTAGAAGATGTTCGCGCCCGCAGTCTGCCGAAGGGACCGGGCGCTGGCCCGGTGCAGGCCCGGTGCAGGCCCGCCTCAGTGGCCATGCCCCGGCCTTCGAACAGATCTTGGGTTTTGATCCCCTAGGAGCCTCAGGGTGTGTCTGAGTGTATTATTCATGCCCTGGCCCTTATAAGCTGTACAAAGTAGTTTGCTTTCGATTCTCAGCTGAACATTGTGGTGGTAGGATTGCCTCTAGTACGTAGTAGGATTCGTGTTGCTCCCGCCGTTCTCAGTGAGCCCAGCTGCTCTCAGCAGCCCCTCCCCCGCCCCTCGCCCTCCTCATGGTCAGGGTCCTTTAGCACCTTCGGGTGGGTCCAGCTTCTCGTCTCATCTTCCCCTACCTACCCTTTTCTTCTCTTGTCTTTTTCAGCTTCTCCAGAATCATGCACCAAACCGTGAAGGAACTGTCACCCAAGTGTAACGTGTCCTTCCTCCTGTCCGAAGACGGCAGCGGTAAGGGGGCTGCCCTCATCACGGCCGTGGGCGTCCGGCTCCGGGGAGAACCATGCAGCTAAGAGCCCTGGACCCCAGCCTGCTGTCCTTCCAGTACTTACTTCTCTCCAAGCGGCGATCCCCGTTCTTCCAGCGAGCTGTGCTGGGAAGACGCCGGCCACTGCCACAGCGGGAGGAAAACAAGCCTACTGGTGGCGCCTAACATAGGGTACAAACCGAGTGTGTGCTGTTGATAATACCTCTCACCTCCAGGCCCCCTCGCCTGCCCCGCCACTCTGCATGATCCGATCTCAACCTGCCGTACGTTCCCCGTGTGTGAAGTTCCGTGACGTCCATTTCTAATTTATGCATTTGTCCAATAGTTATTTATTGGCCTGAGATGAAAAGTCACCATCTGACAGGACTCATGGGCGTCTGCAGCCCATCCTTGGGGACGCATCCCCTGCGTGAAGTGTATTATCACCAGCAGACACTGCCAGGGCTCCTCCCAGGGGTGCTCGCCGCTTCCTCCTGCCCCAGCACCCACTGCTGTCTGGCGCCCCAAGGTTCCCATCCGGGCATTTCCATGCCACTGGCCTGTGTGTCTGTGGATCTGGTCATAGCCACACTGTGACTGTCTTGCATTCTGTCTGGGGGGAGGTGGGCAGTCCTGTGGCAAAGTGTCTTGTCTTTATTTGCATAAAAGGAACCAACCAACGAAACAGTGCCCTCATTGGAATTTCCCATCGCTTCTGTGAGCCATGTCGTATGACCTAGTAAACTTTGTACCAATTCAAAGACCTGCGTGGTGCTTAATGGCTGGGGACTGGGGAGGACATCCAGGGATGGGCAAAACCAAACCCTTGGGATTTCTGTGGCCGGCAGGGTCAAAGGGAGGATTGAGATGAGATCGTGTTATTAGCCCCCGCCTTCCCTTGGACTCGCTACCTCCCTGCATTGTCACAGAATCAGCCTCCCCCCTCGTCTGCCACTGCCCTGCTCCGGCCCCAGGGTCCGATCCTGGGGAGGGGCTCCTGCAGCCCCCACCCTGTAAAGAGATGTCCTCTGGCCTCCAGTAGCCTGGCCTCCTCATTGCAACGGGAACAAAGGAAAAGTCAGCTTGGCTTTCAGGGGCTGATGGGGTGTCATGAGAGGCTGGGGCAACACTGGCCTCCCTTGGCTTCCTGCGCCATCCCCAGCAGACCCTGCCCTTTGCCACCGTGTCTGCCAACTCGAAGACAATGGGTGACATGGACCCCGGCCCTACGCAGATGAAGTCCTGCAGCAGCCTGGGGTAAGGGTTGCTGCGCTCCCCACCCCTCCCGTCTTAAATTAACCCCTTCTGCAGGAACCTGGCTTGTCTGACCCTTGCACCCCTGTCCCACCTCAGCCTCGGGGCTGCTGTCGCACCGTTTCGGATGCTCCTCACAGCTGGTTGGTGGATCCCGCATCAGCCTGCATTCTGGTGCCTACGACTGAGGTGCTGTGAGTGTCCCAGCCGTGACTACAGCCCTAGTGGCTTCCCCAGGACTGACCGCATGCTCACTCGGTGTGGGGAGACCAGAGTCCCTTTATTTGGCACAGCCAGTGCCAGTGGCACAGTGATCTTTGTGGAGAACACACAACATTAAACAGTCTGGATGTTCATTTACAGTGTTAATGGCTCTCCCCGGGGCACAGGGGGGGAGTTGGCAAGCGGGGAGAGCCTGTGCCCTTGGGCCAGGCCTGCGGCTCCGGGGAGCCCGGGCAGTTGGTGGTGTCTGCCTGCCACCTTCTTGCTGTGGAAGTCAGGGTGAGAGCCGTGCTCCTGACTGCAGGGGTCCCTGTGGAGCGGCTGGCGTGCTAGGAGCACGTCGTGGCTGCTGCGTAGTGCACTTAGTCTGCGTTTGGCCTGGGGGTTTGTAGGCGTCACTTCCTTCAGCCTCACAGCCAACTGGGAGAGAAGAGCTGAGGGTCAGAGTGACTTGTCTCAAACCTCCTTTGACTTTTTTCTTCCCAATTTTCAATCCTTTTGACTCTTAACCACCATCTGAGTTCTTAGATGCCAAGGCTGAGAGGCCCAGGATCAACTCAGAGGTGATGCTTATCCTTAACCTGATAATGAATTGGTGTCTGCCCACAGGTGTGCTTTATTTACCCAACATTTATAAAAACGCGAGCCAAATGTAACAAGTCTGGAAGTGTCGCGAATTTGGATTTCTGGCTTCTCTTGACAGAAGATCTGGGAACAGTGGGGTCCCTTTACCACATGGCAACATTTGTCCAGAGCTGATCAGCTACTGTCCCCTTTGGATGCCACTGTCCTCTCGTTTGCCACAGTCCTCACCATTCTCTATCACCCCACACTGGAAGCCAGTTGCCTTTTGTCATCATATTTGCAGTTTTTCTTTTATACTGGATCCAACTTACTCATTACGTTGTGTGCCCAGGAAGGCGTCCGACCTGGCAACTCCTGGACTAGATGTGTCAGCTCCCACTTTGACTCCTAGTGGATCCCCAGAAGCACTGTCTTTGGGAGGAAAGGCTGGGTCCTCTTAAAGTTAGCGTCCACTGTAGAGTTCCCGGCTCTGTCTTGTTTCTGCATCGACGTATTGAAGAGTGAGGCGTGGGCCACATGTTCAGACGTGGTCTCTTGATGTGCTGCTTCTCCAAGGGTGCTAAGCCTCACCCTGCAGCCAGGCACAAGGCTTCAGGATTCGATAGGCACCCCAACTTGGGGACCCCCAGGCTGCCCACTGGTAGCCTCAGATGGGGCCACATCCCCATTCATGAACAGCGTCTCTTTAGTGTGACACCTGTTGACTCTCCTGGAGAGAGAGGGGGTGTGAGTCAGCTCCACCTTATCCTCCTCAGTTGGCGTGACCCACGGGCAGCAGCGAAAAGCGATCCGGAAGCCAGAGCGAAACCTGGGGGATGGAGGGTCAGCTTGAGCAGGGGTGAAGGGGCAGTTACTACAGCTTCTCCCACCTCTAGGAGCCCATCTCCCTTCGGGGAAAGGCACTGCCTCACTCCTGAGAACCGCCATTGCTCGGGCCCTGCAGAGACACAGTCTTTCATGGATTTGAATTTTGGAAACAGCCGGAAGTAATGGGAGCTAAGTCTAGTGATTGGAGTGGGTGATTGAGCTGAATGAAGTACACCATTTGTTATAACCAACGACAAAAAGAAACCAAGTACAAATTATACAGAAACACTTTCTCATTTGACTGGTTAATGGGCTTCTACAGTAATATTCATAGGAGTCTTAACAAATTGGGGCTTTGGCAATGTTGGGGGAAATAAGGATGCTCTCCCAAGGGGACAGCTTTGAAAGAAAATAATACACTTGCACCCAGTGGTTGAGCGTTCACCCGTGAAGAGGTCACCGGTTCAATTCCTGGTCAGGGCACATGCCCATGTTGTGGGCCCGATCCCCAGTGAGGGGCACGGGGGAGGCAGCCAGTCGATGTTCTCTCTCATTAATGCTTGTCTCTCTCTCCCTCTCCCTTCCTTTCTCTCTAAAACCAATAAAGAAAAATAAATAAATAAAAATTAAAAAAGAAAATATACACTTGGTACATTTGCTTAAAAAATAACTCCTGCCTGGCCGGTGTGGCTCAGAGATTGAGTATCGACCCACGCACCAAGAGGTCACCGGTTCAATTCCCGGTCGGGGCACATGCCCAGGTTGTGGGCCAGATCCCCAGTGGGGGCATGCAGGAGGCAGCCAATTGATGTTCTCTCTCATCGATGTTTCTCTCCCTCTCCCGTCCTCTTTCTCTCAAATCAATAAAGGAAAAAATGAAATAAAATAAATAAATAAAAAATAACTCCCACCACCACCAAAATCGAGATTAAAAAAAAAAAAAAATGAACAACTCTCCCTGTGGCATCTCTGAGATTATAATTAAAGATCCACACGCAAATGAGAGGTAAGAGGAAGCAGACGGGTGGAAGAAGTGAGCTGCAGAAGGTGGACACTGGCCTGTCAGAGAGGAAGACAAACAAGACCCTGAGTGGCAGCCGAGAGGGAGAACTGTGTTGTTTGTTCCCAGGAGCCACAGGGTCCCGTGTTCCAGAAAAGCACGTCGAGTTTTGGTTCCTTGCCTTGTAGCTCTACAAGACTCCATGGTGTGGCCCAGCAAATGCCTGTATGATGGGAGCTTAGTGGCCACACTCACACCCAGCATGCCCCCGCCTGAGCTAACCATCACCCCCCACGCCCCTCACAGTCGTCTGCATCTCCGTCCCTGGGAGTCACCCTTGATCTCTCATGCCGTCTCCCCTCCATCAAATTCTGTTGGCTTTACCTTAGCAATAGCCAGACTCTGACCACTTTTCACCCCAGTCTAAACCCACCATCTCTTGCCTGGATTACCTCAATAGCCTAACCATCTACCTCCCTGTGTCTCCCCTTGCCTCGCTGAGGTCCAGTTCCAGCACAGCTCCGCGCTGACTCCTTTCAAGGAGAAGTCAGAGCATGTGTCTCCAGGGCCCAGCCACACAGGGCTCCAGGTCAGAGTACCAGCCCTGTCCTTCCCTTGACCCCAGGGCCTTTGCTCGCTGTTCATCTGCCTGGAACTCTTCCCTAGACAGGGCCCACTTAATCCTCAAGCCCTTGCTCTAAAGTCTCCTCAACAGCCCAGCCAGCGTGGCTCAGTGGCTGAGCACCAACCATGCACTAGGAGGTTGCCCGTTCGATTCCCGGTCGGGGCACATGCCCAGGTTGTGGGCCTGATCCCCAGTGGGGGCATGCAGAAGACAGCCAATCAATGTTCTCTCTCATCGATGTTTCTATCCCTCTCCCTTCCTCTTTCTCTAAAATCAATAAAGAAAAAAAATATTAAAAAAAAGACTCCTCAATAAGGCCTACCCTGACCATCCTTTAAAATTGTACCCCCTGCCCATGACTTCCCCCAGCCCTTCCTGTCTTCCCTCACCCAGCTCTCGTTTCTCCTTTTTCCTGTAGGACTTACCACCTAACACACTATGCGATTCATGTACTTACTAGGTTTGCTTATCGCCTTACTAGGTTTGCCCTCACCAGAATGTCAGCTCCCCGAGGCAAGGAGCATTGTTTCTGTTCACTGGTGTCTCCCTGTGGGGCACACATGGCCCCTTGGTGAACATATTCTCAATGAAGCTTCCCGCCAGGAGCACAGCCCGCTTGACAGCTAGTGTCATCAAATACTGAGTGATTCAGAACTTATTTCAGGAACTTGGAGAGTCCCTTGGAGAAATAGAGCCCCGAGGACTGTGTCCTTAGGTGGCAGGAGAGTGACCAACACACAGACACTGAGTGCTGGTGGCCCCTCCCTCAAGTGACGTCCCTCCCGAGTTCTCCCTCCGGCACGCTGCATGCAAGAGAAGTGTGGTGTGGGGTGAGGTTACAGGCTGCAGAGAGACATGGATGCTGGCTCCACTGCTTGCTGAGTCAGGAGAGTCATTTCTGAGGCTCAGTTTCCTCATCTGTAAAATGGGACTAACGCCTTCCTCCCTCTATATCTACTTCCCTTGCAGGAGACAACTGAAGGTTGTGGCACCCATTAAACACTCAAAAAATGTAGTTTTCCCACTTCCTTCTGGCCTTCCCCAGGTGGGAAGGATGTCTGAACAACAAAGACCCTAATGGCAGGAGTGGCCCGGACATGTGGGCAGGGAGGTGGTAAAAAGGCTTGAACAAAGAGGCCCAGGGCCAATGTTGCCCATATCACTCTCCTGTTAAGGCCAGGACTCAGGGTCCACCTCTTGGATCCTCCGACCTGACCCCGCCGTCGGTTTTCTGAGGCTGCATGGCCTGCTCTGCCAGCCAGACTGCTGGGTGCTGGGTTTTCTGCCTGGCCCAGCACCCCCCACCTTTCCAAGTGCCCCAGAACAAATGCCAGGCCGTCTCTGGGACTCTGCTTCCCCAGAAGTATAAAAGTGGGGAGAGCCAGATGGTGTCTGAGGAGTGAGAGCTGGGCTCCATCCTCCCTGGCTGCTTCCCAGCTGCCCCGAAAGCCCCTGATGGCAGGAGATGCACTGTGATCACCCCAGGGAGCAGGCGGCTCCTCTGTCGGATCTGGCCCTGGGACTGCGACTGAGTGTTCATACTGCTGGGCTCGGGACTTCTCACCCAAGGCAAGTCCTTGGTTCTTCCTCATTGCAGGAAGCTCTTAAAATTCAGCACAGTCCGGCCGGTGTGGCTCAGTGGTTGAGTGTCAACCCATACACCAAGAGGTTGCCAGTTCGATTCCCAGTCAAGACACATGCCCAGGTTGTGGACCTGATCCCCAGTGGGGGGGCATGCAGGAGGCGGCCAATCGATGTTCTCTCTCATTGATGTTTCTATCTCTCTCTCCCTCTCCCTTCCTCTCTCTACAAAATCACTAAAGGGGAAAAAAACCGTCAGCACAGATGAAGTCTTTTACCTTGGCTCCTTCCTTCCTCCCCCTCTGTTTGTCCTCCTGCCTCTCTCTGACTCTCCCCCTCCCTCCATCTCTCTGTCCCTCCCTTCTCTCCTTTTGTTCCATACGTAACCCCCCCCCCCCCAAGAGAAAGCAAGAGCAGACAAATGGTGAGAACAATGGGGCAAGGCTTTGGGGAGGAGGTGGGGCCCAGACCAGAGGGAGGAATGTGCTGTGGGCTCGCTGTGAGGATGGTAATCCCATGTGGGGGTGGGGGCACAAGGGCACAGGTGAGCCCAGATGGGGACAGGCCACAGGGCCCCGAGAACTGAGGAGAGGGGTGGGGATGAGGACTCACCTGCGGTTGAGGCAGCAATAGATGATGGGATTGTACATGGCGGAGCTCATAGCCAGCCATAAGAGCGCCAGGTAGACCTGCTGAATGAACTTGTGGCAGTAGATGTCTTCCTGGAAGTGGCCCAGGATGAAGTAGAGGTGGTAGGGAAGCCAGCAGATGGCAAACGTCACCACCACCAGCACCATGGTCTTCACAAACTGGTCCAGGAAAGGCTTAAGTCACTGCTCAGCCTGGAAGCCCCAAGCCCCGATCCTCCCAGGGGTGGGGGTGGGGTGCCCCTCTGGCCAGCCTGGAAAGCCCTCAACAAGCAGGTCCTGTCTACCACTGTGGCCTCAGTCCCCTGGAGCATCTGCTGCTCAGACACTCCTGGGCCCTCCATCTTGGGCCTTGTGCTCAGCCTGGTCCCTCTGTCCACACTGCTGCCTTTCCTTTGAAGTCCTCACACTTCAAAGCCCAACTCAGTGTCCACTTCCCTTAAAAGGCATCCTGAATCCCTTGTGGATGAGCACTCACTCCTAACCACATCCTTTGGGGAGTCCCTACGCCAGCTATGGGTTTCCAGCCCCACTGCCCTCCCTGGGGTCTGTGTCTGCCACAGCCCTTCCATCCAGAGGTATGAGGCTCCAATCTGGGACCCCAACCTCTGCCAGGGCCCAGCCACAGCCCTTCCATCCAGAGGTATGAGGCTCCAATCTGGGACCCCAACCTCTGCCAGGGCCCAGCCACAGCCCTTCCATCCAGAGGTATGAGGCTCCAATCTGGGACCCCAGCCTCTGCCAGGGCCCAGCCACAGCCCTTCCATCCAGAGGTATGAGGCTCCAATCTGGGACCCCAGCCTCTGCCAGGGCCCAGCCGACATTTCCCCTCTCATGGTTGGTTTCAGCAGGTGTCCTTGAGTGTGGCCCAGTACCCCATGGGATGGAAGACAAGCCAGGGCTGGCACATGGGGACCAGCTCTCCGTGAGGAGGAAGTCCCAAATGGTGTTCTATATCCAACCACCTCCCCGAATTGCCCTGAAAAATTCCGAACAGTACATGAGAAGTTGAGACTTTGACCTGATACATGATATGATCAGCCCATTACCTCCCTGCTCACCTAACAGGAAGCGGGCAAAGCAAAGATAAGCTTTTGACAGGGTATCAGGATCCCTGGAGCCCTGAGCAGGGGCACTGCACTTCCTTTGGAAACTGAGACATGATGTAGCTGCACTGCAGTCCCGTGTCCATGATCTCGGGTCTGCAGTTCCCGCATCTGAGAACATGCCTGTGATTCTATCAAGGAGCCTTCTGTAGTTCTGTGGGACTTCTTAAGTTAAATATTCTGATTACTCAAAAAGTGTAAGATTTTAAGATTCTGTCATTCTAAAGTTCTTGGAAGAATCTGAAATTCTGTGGGGCTTAAGGGTTCCCTGATTCCCTAACATTCTGCGAAGTCCCTGTAACTTGGAGTTTGGCCAAAGACCAAGACCTGCCCGAGGAGAAAGAATTCAGGCTCTGGCCAGGGACTTGGGACCCCGGCTAGTTGCCAGTGGATCCTGTGCTCCGCGGCGCCCCCTGGAGGGCGATCCTGGAGCCTGGAGCCCGGAGGAGCGGCCCCGCCCCGGCGCGCCCCGCCCCCGGCGCCCACCTTCTTCTTGGCCAGCAGGTAGTGCGTGTTGGCGCCGTGCGCGTGGTACCCGGGGACCGCGCATCTCCAGAGCGTGAAGCCGATGACGCTGTAGGCAAAGAACATCACCACGAGAGGCAGGAAGTAGATGAGGACGATCACGGCGAGGTGGTACCTGGAGGGAGAGCCAAAGGCGGGGCAGCGGCGGTCCGGGGGCGACTTGAGCACCCGCCAGCGCTCAGTACCTTGGACCCCGCGGGCGCCCCTGAGCGGCCCTTGAGTTGCCCGCGGCGAGCCAGCCTGGGCGGCTCCGGAGGCCTTAGTTTGACTTAAAGACAGTAAATAAGTAAAGGCAACACTAGCCAGCACAGGTGCCCAAAGAGGGCTTCCCGCTGCGAAAGGACGCCAGGTTAGCCTGCGTCGGCCCAGGTGACAGACAAGTGCCAGCAGAGGACGCAATGGGAATTCCTCACCCACCCCCCACGCTCAACAATTCGGAGTGTTTTCTCCCAGAATCGTGTGCGCACCGTGCTGCCTGCATCAGGGTCGGAACCCGCCACGCCGGAGAGCCGGTGCTCGGTACCCTCGGCTCCGCCCGGTCCGCTTCCCAGGGAGAGGAGGCCCGACGGAGGCGGAGAAACGGCGCCTCCCAGTGGCCAGTCTTCTCTCCATCCCTCCCGGAGCCAAAAACCCGAGCGCTTCGCTGCAGGCGCCGCTCTGGAGCCCTGAGTCCTTCCGCGAAGCTGGGGTACCGCGCAGGGACGAGACCCGGGCGGGGCCTGCCCTCGAGGCCCAACAGCCCCCCGAAACAGGCTTCTCAGAGGAACGGCGCCTTCCCCAGTGCTGAAGGCCCGGGCTCAGCACCGACGGAGACCGGTGTCAGGGGAGGGGTCTGGAGGAGGCGGGGTGGGGGCTGTGTCGCCATGGTGACCTGGCAGCCCCGGCCCAGAGCAGGCACATCCTCGGGCTTGGGGCAGCGGGGTCCTATTGGACTAAATCTGATGCCTGCAGTTTGTTTGCACGTGTCCCCTATTTAAACTACCACACAGAGGCGCCGGCTCTGGCGGACATGGTGCTGAGGGCCTGGCGTACATTTTCTCCTTTGTGCTCACAACTATCCTTGAACAAGGTTCCTTTACTAATAATCCCCATTTGAGAGAGAAGGGGCCAAAGGCTCAGAGAGGTTAAGTGACTACGAAGGGTCTTCCAGCCAGCAGGGCGCAGGGCAGGGCTCTATCCCAGCTGCTGACTCCAAACCTCGACCAGTTCTTTATCCTCTACTATCCACCATGCCGTGCTTGGGGATCAGGAAGCCACACCGTGAGTACTAGGCAAATGGAGGCCCAGAAAGGGAAAGGACTTACCCAGGGTCACACAGCAACTGGACCATGCTGAGTTTTATTTTACCCCACACCCACCCCAGAGCCCTTGGTGCCCACCTCAGCACCAGGCAGGCACCAGGCATCCTCCCCAAAACACCCCCGGCTCCATCACTGACCCTTTCTTTCTGCTTCAATACCCTGACCCTTGTGGCCTGAGCTTTTACAGTGCCCTCCCCAAACACACACCCACACACACATTCCTGAACACGTACCTGTGTGCACACACGCCCACAAGCACATCCACATACACACACACACTAACACACACAGACAGGATGGGTGCGTCTGCGTGTGTAGTGGCACATGCACATGTGCACACACCGTATCCTCAACTGAGGGTGTGCACATCCTGCTTTAAGTGACAGAGGGGGAGGAGGTTGCACTCTGAAGCAGGACTGCCTATGTTTAACTCTTCACTTCACCTCTTACTAGCCCTATGGTCTTGGGCACATTACTTAGCCTCAGTTTTCTCAGCTGAAAAATGGGAAGAAAAATAATACATACTCCATAATGTTAGGAGAAGTAAATGAGTTCATATATGTATATGCTTAGAACAAGCCTGACACTTAGTACGTGATGTTCCTTTTAGTACATACGTGTACTTACACTAACCCAAGTACACTCATAGACACATGTATGCACCCACATGCACATACTGCAAATGTGTACATGCAAGTGTGTGCACACATGCACACACAAGCACACACATTGTCATATGCACGTGCATGCACACACCACACTTCCCCCCCACCCCTAGGCCTTACCAAAGTAGCATCTTGCTGCCATTGTTTTCGGGCCAGTCCACTATGCACTTAGTGGCTCCCTCGTCCATGACGATGGTGGAGTAGAAACACTGGGGAAAGGCGAGTGCCAAGGCCACCAGCCAGATGCTAGCAATAACTGCTTTGGTGCCAGGAGCTGAGAGCCGTGGCTGGAAGGGGTGGACGATGGCCATATACCTGTGAGCGAAGGGCGGTATGAACAGTGGGCACCTCCTACCAGACCAGCCCCTATCCTCTCTCCCTCCAGCCCCGTTCTCCACACTGCTGCTGGTGACTTTCCCACAGCCACATGGCATGCGGGTGGCCTAACCCCCAGCCCAGGCCCCTACTGCACCGCCTCCCTCTGAGTATGGACTTGCTCTCAGATGGCCACAAGAGAGCGGTGTGGCCACATTGGATGTCCATCTCAGGACACTTGTCTGAAACAGCCCTGCCGAGCCCCTTAGCCCTAGGCCAGTCCCTCTTCTGTTCAGAAACATTAGCAGAGCCCGGCAGTCTCCTGGACGAAGCCCAAAGCAGCCCTGCCCAGCAGCTCTCAGAAGCGGTGGAAATGCTCTGTGTACGCACTGTCCTGTTCGGTAGCCACTAACACACGTGGCCAACATGACCAAGGAACTCAGATTTAAATTTTAATTAGCTATAAGTTAAATAGGCACATACGGCTGTGGCTGTTATCGGGCAGTGCCGCCTACCCCTTCAGAGTGGCATTCAGTGCCCTGCGCACATGGACAGTGCACGTGCTTCCCGCTCCGGACCTGGCTCACTCTGGTGGTGGGACAGCCCTGTGTGTGTGGCCCTCCGCAGGTACAGCACAAGGATTACGATGACAGTCAGTTATACTGAAATACCATCATTAAAATATAAAGTAAATCTGGGACATAGTAATGCGTCCACTTCTTTAGCAAACACTAAACAACACAATCTAGTAGCAGGTCTGGTAAATTTTTTTGTTTTTTGTTTTTTTATCCTCACCTGAGGACATGTTTTGCATTTATCTTCAGATAGAGCAGGAGGGAAAGAAGGAGGAAGAGAGAGAAACATTGATATGAGAGAGACACATCGACTGGTTGCCATCCACACGACCCCAACCAGGTCCGGGGACAAACTGCAACTGAGGTACGTGCCCTTAGTGGGAACTGAACCCGGGACTCTCTGGTCCGCAGGTCAACGCTCTAACCGCTGAGCCCAACTGACCAGGGCTGGAAACGTAATTTTGAAGTAGTGATGAGTGTAGGTGACACTCTGAGATTTCTGCACAACAGAAGTGCTGGCGATATCTACTGCCGACAGTCCCAGGCGCTGCTGGAGTCCCAGCAAACCTGGCGTGCTGCCTACACCTGTAACTGTGATCTCCTCCAAGTTCATGACGCCTCATATTCCTGCCCACAGTCCGTGGTCACAGGCTGTCCATGTCTGGACTAGATCATTTGTGACCCTCCTCTCTCCCTACGCTGTGACAATGACCTTCTCCTGACTGTGGCCTGGCCCTGGCCCAGCTCTAGCCCTCGACAGCCTGGACCCAGGCCGAGTACCTTAGTAGGACAAGAGAGGTTGGCCGTGTTCCTCAAGGCTCTTGGCACCCCGCCCCCCATAGGCGGTACAGGCGACCAGAGGGTCCACTTGCGGGCTCCGGTGTCCTTCCTGTTCCAGGAGGTGGGACGGGAAAGGGCACTTTTCTTCTCGTTTAGTAGCGGAGCAGGCCTGGGGCTCGGGTTCGGCCTGATCCAGATTTGAATCCCGACTCCTCCCAGCCTTGGCGTCTCGAGCACATAACCTGAGCTCCCGGGACTCCGTTCTCATTTCCTCCTCTGCAAAGTGGGCTGGTCGTCATTCGTGCCACTAGGGTTCCTGTGCAGAGTGAGTGGGATGCCCGAGACCTGCCCGCAGGCAGCAGGGGCTCGGGGCTCGGGAGTGTGATTATTCTTATTCACCTTCTTCCTTTAAATTTACTGGAAATGGCTTTGGTCCTACAGGACCCCTGGTCTTCCTCCCTGGAGTTAATCTGAACCTTCGGACAAGGCAGGACAGTAGGAGACAGCCTCCCATTTTCTTTAGCCCTTGCCCCGAGCAGGGGAGCTTGTGTCTTGGGGTCTGGGGCATTAAGCGAGCAACTGACTCGGTGCCCGGGAGCATTTCCACCCGTGTCGGTGAGGACGCCCTCCTTGCTGCTCCTCACACACGGGCCTGCTCCGGCCACAGGCCTTCGCTGCTGCTGCGCTTTCTGGAACGTTCTTTCAACCCAGAGCCCAGGAGGCTCACTTTCTCACCACCCTCCTGTCTGCTCTAACCCACCCTCACGGTAAGGCCAGTCTGGCACCCTAACACTGCAACCTGCCCCCCCAGCACCTCAGGTCCCCTTTCCCTTTCCTAATACGTTCCCATGATCTCAAAATACAATATATAACTTATCTGTTTATTATGTCAATTCTCACCAGAGCAGGCATTTTTATCTGTCCCGCCCCCAGTGCCCAGCACAGTAGCTGTACGTAATAGAAATGAAGAACCGAAGGGCAAGTCTCCACAATTACCACCCTGGCCTGAGCCACTACCCTCTCTCACCTGGATTACTATTCAGCAGCCTCCCGCCCGGTCCCCTGCTCCCAGCCTGGCCTGAGCCACTATCCTCTCTCACCTGGATTACTATTCAGCAGCCTCCCGCCCGGTCCCCTGCTCCCAGCCTGGCCTGAGCCACTATCCTCTCTCACCTGGATTACTATTCAGCAGGCTCCCGCCCGGTCCCCTGCTCCCACCCTGGCCTGAGCCACTATCCTCTCTCACCTGGATTACTATTCAGCAGCCTCCCGCCCGGTCCCCTGCTCCCACCCTGGCCTGAGCCACTATCCTCTCTCACCTGGATTACTATTCAGCAGCCTCCCACCGGTCCCCTGCTCCCACCCTGGCCTCTCAAGTCCATTCACACGTCCCCCACCCCCTTCAAAAAGGAAGTTTTCGTGAGGTCATGATTTCAGGACTCTTTTTTCCCATTGGTATATATCCCAGTGCCTGAAACAGAGGACACACTCAAATACTTGCTGAGTAAAGGAAAGAAAGTCTTAGTGAGACTTTCAGATATTTCCAGGGGGGAAGAAGGGCCTTTTTGTGGCGGTGGTGGTGAGTGTGTCTGGGTTCCAGGCATCTGGCCCTCCCCCTGACTCGCTGGCTGACCTCGGGGCGTCCTGCCCATCTCTCTGGCCTGTTTCCTGGGTGCAAAATTGAAACATGGGACTCCAACATGGGATGAATGGTTTTTAAACTTTCTTTTTGCTTTTAATTAGTAGAAATAAACTTCTCAAATGAAATCTTCAGGGAGATTCCATAGTAAGACAGCCAAGCACAGAGACGAGAGCTGCTGTAGTGGAGAGGTTGCGGGGCTCATTGGCTGGGAGGGGGTGCGTGAGCCTCTTCAAACCATTTGGACAGGAGTCTGTGTCTCCCTGGGCCCCAGGCTCCTCCCTGCCTCCCACACTTGCCTGGTGTATTTCGTCTGTTTCTTGTTGTTTGTCGTCTGTCTCAACCACACTCCCTCGGGGACACACAGTTCCCTTCCTCTTGTACACCGGCCCTGCCTGCCCCATCCGGCTTTAAAAGGATCCCACAGCTGCCGCCGATCACTCCTCCATCCTCCCTGACACCCCCACAGAAGCCACAGTCTGCAGCGCTGAGAGAAGCCCGGGGGAAAGGATGGGCCCGTGTAATTCTATAACTGCATGCAATCTTACATTTCCCCCTCATATAATCTACCTAGGAATAGGAAAACCATATAAGCAATTTTCTTGTAGTAAAAGAAAGACACCACAGCAAAGATCAACTTCAGAAAGAACATTCCAGAAAGTTTCTAAAACACTGGACAACCATCTGGTATCAAGTTCTTCCTGTGTCTAACCTTAACCTTCCCTGCTTCAGTTCCCTAGTCCCCTGCCTTCCAGATACGCAGTTTTGGATCATGATCAGGTTGGGAGGCAATTCCCTGGGTTCTACACTTAACTTGCTGTGTGACTACGGGCAAGTCCCCAGCCCTGTCTGAGCCCCAGCAAAGTGGGCCGGCTCCCCCAGCTTCTCCCGAGCCCTACCCGCTCTTGCCTGTCTGCAGCGATGGCGGTCATGGAGTAGATGCTGACGAACATGACCGTGACAGGGAAGAGGTTCTGGAAATAGCAGAAGGCACGGCCAAAGTACCAGATGTTGTGGCTGGCGTAGATGAAGTTGAAGACAGCGTTGAAGGCGGCCATGCAGAGGTCGGCCAGGGCCAGGTTGACGATGAAGTAGTTGGTGACTGTGCGCATCCTCTGATGGGCCAGGATGATCCAGATGACCGTGGCATTGCCCGTCACGGCCACCAGCACGAGGGTCAGGTAGGCCACAGCCCACAGTGCCAGCTGCCAGCCCGGCATGGAGAAGACCGTGATGCCTGTGGTGTTGCTCTCAGGGCCAGATGAGATGTTGGCGTCCGTCACAACGGTACAAATCCCCATGGCTGCCTCTGGTCTGGGACAGGGGTCGCTCCTCAGCTCCTCCCGGACCCTGGTGCCCTGCCTGGATATGCTCTAGAAGAGAAATCCCGGGTGTGAGTATATGGGGAGCGAGGAGTAGGTGCAAAGCCAGGCACGTCAGGGAAACTTGGGGTCACTCTCCAGTCGCAAGCAGAGATGCGTCGGCTGAGTGGAGAGCGGGTTCCAGAGCCGTTGGCATTTCAGCTTCCCATGTCCCAGCCAGACTTCTCCAACGTCACCTGGAAATCTAGAGCCCAAGACACGGCCGCAGAGCAGGAGATATCCTTGTAAATGATCAGTCAACCCCTTCACGGCAGAAATGGAAACAGATTCCAAGGGGGGATGTGACCAGCCCAGGTCACTCGGTAAATTAGTGACAAGCCAGGACTCAAACCCAGGTCCCTCTTAATACTCTTCCGGAAGCGTTCTGGGTCAGAGGAGCACACAGCAGCAGGCTTTGGATTCCACAGGGCCGCTGGCTGTCTCTCAGGCTTGGGGCGCAGGTTGGGCTGCCAGCCCTCCGAGCCGCTGCCTTCTGCTCTTCCTGCGGGCGGGCGAGGCCTTGGCAGAGGTGCTGCCTGCTCACGAGATGGGGCTTTGGTTCCCGCCCCTCGTCCCGGCCCTGCTGGGATGGCCCAGCCTTGTCTCTTGAGGAAAGATTTAGGACTGGCTGCCAGGCAGGGAGAAATAGGGGCGGCAGGGGTGGGGTCTGGCATGGCGGGCACAGTCCTTGGTGGGGTGTTTATATTCAGCCCAGGCCAGGAGCTACTTCTACAAGGTGATTAGGAGCATGTAGTTGGGAGTCAGACTGAGTGTGTGTTGGCTTCAATGATGCCAGGCAAGTCTCTCAACCTTTTTGAACTTTGGCTTTTCCTAGCTGAAAAAGATAGGGGGAAAAAGTGTATGTCTCAGCTTACAGCAGATCCTTGGATAATGCTGTTTCATTCATAGTCATTTCATTGTAATGTTGATGAGATGCCGGAGAGCTTAACTTGTTTACAACATTAAAGTTGGTTTTATTATACATTGTTTCGCTTAGAGTTGAAAAACCTATAGATGATGTTAAATGAAGACTTACTGTCTTTATTAGTTTTAAACGAGATGATGTGTGTAAAGTCTATTTAACACAGGGGCTGGCCCATAACTGGCCCCCCAGACAGCTCAGGGCTCGCCCTCCCTCCCTCCCTCCCTCCCTCCCTCCTTCCCTCCCTCCCTTCCTTCCTTCCTCACCCAAGGACATTTTTGCATTTATCTTCAGATAGAGCAGGAGGGAGAGGGAAGAAGAGAGAGAAAGAAACATCGATGTGAGAGAGACACATGACTGGCTGCCACCCACATGACAAACTGCAACTGAGGTACCTGCCCTTATCGGGAACTGAACTGGGGTCTGTCTGGTCCATGGGCCGACGCTCTAACCGCTGAGCCAAACTGGCCAGGGCTGGGCTCTGTATTTCTAACCAGTTCTTAGGTGATGCTGATGCTACTGGTCCAGGGTTCTCACTTTGAGAACCACTCTCACAGGACAAGGACAGGCTCGCTGCCTCTTCTGTGAGCCCCAGGAAGGCTGGCCAGGGCTGCTCTGGGTTTGCCCACAGGAACCTGCTCTTGGTCATTGGCTGTGCATGTGTGTTGGGCACTGATGAAGCTGCACTGCTGTTTCCGAGTGATTGTACATGTGTGGCTGTGCACGCCTGCGGGTGTGTGGAACATGAAGGCCTGCAGTGTGTCCCTCATCAATGCAGAGGAGGACACACACTCACCAGCATTAGCAGCTATGCTAAGGGTATGGTTGGTCTCCTGGGAATCCAGCCCTGCACCTTGGGGAGGGCCTGCTTCCTGGGTCCCTTCTGCTCCTGTGGGTGTGTGTACGGTGGGGCTCTTGGGACTCTGCTCTCCCAGAGTCAGCTCCGGACACAGCTGGCTGCAGTCCTGGCCCGGCCACGGGACAGACGCCTGTTCCCTCTCCGGAGCAAGCCACCAGCCTCTGTTTGCACACGTGTCCTTTGCTAAAAGGCCTCTGCCTTTGATCTCTTTTGGCAGCAGCAGCAGCAGCAGCAGCAGCAGCATCCACCCAACTTTGGGGCTTGTTTCTGTCTCCTGCTCCGCTGGCCAGGGTTCAGAGGTGGAATGTGTGGAAATAGGGTGTACGCACAGGACAACCTTCCTTCGTTGCTGTTCTGCTTCCTGTTCCCAGGCAGCTGGGATTTGTTGAGTCTCAGGTGCAAGCACAGTGCAGGGCCAGGCACTCAAGAGCATGTCACGGGTCATCCAAGCTCATAATAGTACACATTCCCCATCCCCTAGCCCTGCCACCGCCAATGCATACATAATGGGGATTCTATTTCGAGCTTGTAAACCCAAGAGTTTTGTTCCCACCTTAAACCATGCCCTCTTGCAGCTTTCCAACTACGCGGTAGTGGCTTCGTGGGAGGTGAGGGTGGGGCTGCCCTGGACAGAGAGGTTACTGGTCAATCTTGCTGCTCGGGTTGACCTGCTGAATCCATCACTATACCACGGCCTTGAAGGCTAGTGTTTGTTAAAAGAGACAAAAATACCTGAATTTCTTTAGCTCCCATGACACATGAAGACTCTGGTTTGCTCATCAAGGTTTGTGTATGGGAAGTCTCTTCCACCAGGAAGTGAAGGGGGAAGGGCTGGCCATTGTTTCTGCAGAGGCTGGCTGAGCTGACGGTGCACAGGTTGGGAACCTCTAGGAAGTGCCTCTGATTCAGAGTTTAGAGTGCAGGATGTTTATTAGGAATCCACACCTGGGAAAAGGAGGAGGAGAAGAGTTGGTGGAGGAGGAAGTTGAACTGTGATACCGCCTTGGACAACCTCATGGGTTGCTCTGGACTAGAGTGGTCTTGCAGAGCTGTCATGTGTTGGGCAAAGGTGGCCAGGCCTTTACGCTTCCACATGGCCCACTGGGCGCACGCTGCCCCGAGGAGGGGCGTGGCCTTGCACAAGGCAGGTCTCTGCAGCTGACACAGTGGCTGAAGGAGGCGTGAGCTGAACACTGTCTGCCTAGAGCACTCCCAGCATCTTGCAGGGAGTCTGGGATGCACAGGTCAGTGTCCACCTTGGCTGAACAGCAGCCTCCCGGTGTGTGGGGTGTGAGCTCGCCAGTGCTTCTTGTGATTTGTGTTTTCGTGACTCCTGGGCTGGAGGCCTGAAGACCAGAGTTGAGAGAGGCATTGGTTTTTCAGGGAGTTTGGAAAGAGGAGAAGGTGGGATAAGGGAAGTAGATGGAGAGAAAAGGGGGCTCCAGGAAGGGTTGGGGACTGGGTGCTTCTTCAACAGCGTCTGAGAGAGGGCGCTTCTGGGCCCGGGCCACTTGGTCGTGACTTCAGTGGCCCACGGTGTTGCGGGCATCAGTGCATCTGTGGGTCAGCTAGCCACGACACAGCTCACTTGGACTGGGAAAAATGAGGACGATGACAACGCAGTGAGCTTTTTATTCAGCTAAATGAATCTGGTTGAGCCAAGCCCTTTCTGCTTTTAAAAGGCTGAAGATGTTCTTTCTTTCATGAAATAATGGTGCTGGCAGATGGTCAACACCCTGGTTTTCCTTTTTCTATAAAATTGCTTACTTAATGGAATCACAAGTTGGTGACCCACATGGTTCCCTCTGTTAGGTTTTTGGTGTTTTATTGGTCTATTAAATTCAAGGGTCCAGGAGCCCCAATCTAGTTCCTCATTTGGAGAAGAGGAGAGGGACCCCCGATTTCAGAAGGCTTGCCCAGGTCTCATCGCTAGTGAGGTGGGGCCACATCCCTGATTGTGCCCCTCTGTCCTCCACAGCCTGTAGTGGTCTGTCTGCTCCTCTCTCTCAAGCCCCATCAAAGCCACCTCCCTGTGAGATGGATGGGGAGCTGCTCAGGGCCTGCACTGTGTCTTGTTTATGTCCAGTGTCTGGGAGAGCTGTCAGCACATCACGAGTACCCTATAAATGTCGGTTGATTGAAAATGAATAAAATTTAAAGTATGACTGAGGAGTGAGGGATGGGGCCTCGTATGAATATATATTACATGTCTACTTATATCTGTATCTAACATATAGATATGAAAGCCTTCAACTAATGAGACTAACACTAACGATGGGATTTTAGGCAACTTTGAGTGGGCAGGGCAGAATAATGCCTGGCACACTGGCACATAGTAGATGCTCAACAAATGTCAGGTGAATAAATGATGTTTAAAATATCACCCTGTCAGGGGTAAAGAAAGTCGCGTTCTTATTTTCACTGGATCTAAAGCTTAAATGGAAAGCCCCTGTCTGAGTAGGAAGGTAGCACTTTTGGAGGACCCTGGGGTCTCCCCAGCACCCCAGAATGTGTTCCTCATGGATAGCCCCTGAGGGGGCTCTCAGCTGGAGGGTTCCAGGCTGGCCCCTTCAGGAGATGGGCTCTGTGCCCCCTGCCCCTGGCCTGAGCTTCAGTGGCCCGAATGTGGGACTTCCGCTGAGGGGGAGAACTGGCCTCTGCCCAGAGCCAGGGCCCCAGCGGACACCTTTGCAACACTGCGAGGGTGCTGGGGCAGCGCCTCGCCCCGAAAGCCGAAGTTTATCCAGCTGGAAAGGAGAGGCCGCGATGTTTACATCTGCTGTGGTCTGGTGTACACAGTGCTCAGAAGTGCTTGACACTAAATGAGTTCACTTTCAACACCAGGCTGCAGCAGAACCTGACCTTTTATGGCAGGCGGAGGAGGAAGTAGACGGGGCTTGTTCTAGGGGGAGCACCCCAACACCCGCATGCTGGTTGGATAACTGGGGGTCATTCCAGAGGCAGCCTGGGTGCAGACGGGGGACTTGGTCCCTGTCCAGGGCATTGGCAAAGGTGGCAGCAAGCTCCGTGGTGTGGACGAGGTGAGGAAAGGGGGTTGACGAAGGGTCGACCAAGCCCTGGGCCCTGCAGTGGGTCTGTTGACTGGGCGGGCGCTCTAATGATCAGCTCAGAGTTTGGAGAAAAGCTCACAGCTCTACC